TTGACATCTGCCCCATAGGCTATTTCTTCTGATAGAAACATGTTTAATAAATGTGCTGGTTCAGGAGAAAACATCATGCCTTGATCATCTTTGTTAAGTAGCCGGGGAACACTGGTTACACCAGGCCAAGTTTTGAGCAGTATTGCTATTAAATGTGGTTCTTAAGGTAAGAACAGTTTCAAAATTAGAAATTGAAGTACAGCAAAGGCTGTCTTGCTCGAAGTTGTATGACTTAATAGGCTGTTTTCTGGCCCCCCATAGATAGAGAATGAGTAAACTTCTTTTTAAAATAAAGATAAATTACAAATTTACTTAAAAATATATATTTTTAGTTGGTCAAATATTAATCTCTTCAATCATATTCAATAAGTACAATATTTAAGTTGTTTCTAAGAGTTTTGCTTTTATAAATTATATAAATGAAAATCTTTTTTTTTAATTTTTTTTTTAAAGATTTTATTTTCTTCCTTTTTCTCCCCAAAGCCCCCCTGGTACACAGTTGTATATTCTTCGTTGTGGGTCCTTCTAGTTGTGGCATGTGGGACGCTGCCTCAGCGTGGTTTGATGAGCAGTGCTATGTCCGCACCCAGGATTCGAACCAACGAAACACTGGGCCACCTGCAGCAGAGCGCGCGAACGTAACCACTCGGCCACGGGGCCAGCCCCTGAAAATCTTTGAACATATGTCATTGTCCATCTGTGCTAAATAGCATATAGATTCCATGGGGCGTGGATTTGTGTCCCTGATGTATGTCAAGTACCTATACTTGTTCCCTACTAAGTGAGTGAATGAATTTGTAGGCAAGGACAGAATATTATATGTGGCCCTTTCTAATGAGTCTCTTGTATTTTTTCAGAGTAAATTACTAAACAGCTTCCTAGTACCATTTGCTTTGGTTTTCATATACCACAGACTATAGTAATAATTTTTATCACCTGTATGTTTCCTCCTACTAGTGAAATGGACCAGATATGGATCCATGAGGGTATGAATCAGTTTTCCTAATTTTTCCCCATTGAAGTGCCACTTCTTTTCACTCTTAAGTCATGGTTCAAAAGTCCCAGTACTTTTGAACTGTATGAAATTTATATACTGTTTATGGCAGGTTTGGTGTAAAGTTTGGTTTGTGAGTTTGGGTTGTTCTTGCTTTCCTTTCTGCTGCTTTCCTGCAAATACCACACCAATGTTTCTTGCCTTAATCTATTTTAATTTCATTTCTGTGATAAGCAGAAAATTCGTGAAATACAGAAAAATAGAGGAAATTAGTTCTAGTTCCACAGTCCAAGGACACAAGAGTTTCCCACATGCCTTGAGCTTGCTTTTCCAGACAGCTCTTTGTTTTTAAGGTCAAAGTTCTAATATTGTTACAAGACAATAGTCTAGATAACGTCAGGATTTTGTAGCAGTGTAATTACTAAATTATTCTAAATTCAAAAAAAACTTTTTGTCTTTTCTTCCCCTTTTTGATTTTTGAGTTGGTTTTCTCATGTGAAGCATCTGTTAGCTGGAAAAGGTGTTAAGATGATGAAGTTTTGATAACTTCTATCATGTTTGTCCTCAATACGCTTGTGGCCATATACTTCCTTAACAGATTGGTAAATATAGCAGCAAATGTCTCTGTTGTGGGAGAAAACAATATTGCATTTCCACCGTGAGCAAAAAGGAGATGTGTGATATGCAGGTTTTTTACTTACTTGAAAATTTTAGTGGACTGAAAGACATGTGGGAACCTCAATACTATTCACGGTAGGAAGTACTATGTTTAATGATGGATGGCAACTTTTAAAAAATCCTCACACTCCCAGGTATATGAAAATAGATTTAGCTACAGTAATTATCATTTCCCTAAATTCTTCCTTTTTTGCCTTCTTATCTTAGAAAGGGGAAGCTAGTGAATTTAAAGTAAAATGAATTTGCTAGCTTAAAATTATACTTAAGATATATCTACTTTGGATAATGTAAATCTTCTTGAGCCAGAGTATTATATAAGCATTACTAGGTAATGATGGTGCAGAGTTTTGTGTTTTGTTCATCAATCCCAGTCTGAGGGAAAAGTATACGGAACAGAACAAGAAGGAAAGGGCATGGGTTAGAGTATAATCAGCTTATGTAAGTTAACTTTTACTTGTTACTGAAAAAAAAAAAAAGGCCAGAATCATAACTTTTTCACATTAAATATATAACAGGATTGACTATTAGGTTTAATCAAAACTACATTTTATATAATATGCATAAAATTTGAGAAACCTACTCATGCACATGAGATACTGATAACCTGTAATATCAAAAAGATAAATTGGGTGGCAGTGATTCTTTGTTATAGTGAGGAATTAACTCAGAATTTCATAAAATTAAAAGTGTCACTATGGTACTTAAGGATTTAGATATTTTTGCAGCATTAACTATACCATACATGTATTATGAAAAATATCTTACGTAAGAGTGGTCTCTACTCTGGTTCCGTTGTCAACACAGGTCATGTCAATAGACATCTTGTTTTTAAAATAGATTGCAAATAAAGGTAAAAAATTGTACCTGCTTATATCACTATTTCATATTTCAAGAGAGAAACAGAACCTAATCTTTAAATTATAGTCAGTCTCTGAGTAATTGATAGCTGACTGTTGTCATTTCTGCTGGAAAGTGGTTATTTTGATGCATAATATAAATTTTACATCATGAATTTTCTTGAGTACTCATGTTTAAAGATGGACCTTCTTTTTGCAGTAGATATGTAATTCTTGAAGTTTTGTGTGTTGTACATCAAATTAGTAGGAAAAATGGATCTTGATAAGTGCAAGGTGCATATAGTTACCTTGGTATAACTTGATACTTTTTAAGATGCAGACCTATGAGTTTTATTAAATAATTAGAATTTAGTTCCATTGTGACCTTCAGAATTACGCTTTGTGAACCTACTAAGCTTTCATGACTTTTTTTCAGAAAACTCGTTTTCTTATTCTTCTCCCATTCTAGTACAGTAACCATTTGTTTTAATGAGATAGATAGGAATGTGATGGGATATGCATTAAAGAGCAGGTTGGGGTTGCACACAACCATTATTAGATATGCTTTATTATATACTGAAGAAACAATTTAATTTTATTAATGTTCATAAGATTCCTAGCCTTAGGATGGCACCCAGATAGAACAATGCATCATTTTGAGATGCTGTTCAGGCTCTAGAGGCAAACTGCTGAGTTTTCTTTCTTGTGTTTCCTGTGGGTGCAGGAGTGATGTTGCACAAGCATGATATATGTAATCGTTGACTTCGTCTGATGGGTATTTCCAAAAAAGAATGTAGACATACTTTAATGAACATTCAGTTGTTAATCTAATTTCGAAAGCATTTCAGAGCACCAAGAAATAAAACTTACATTTGAATTTTGAGAGCAGTGGATCTCTTACTGGTCACATAATAAACCTATGCTATATTGTGTTAGATTCCAAAGGGTACTTGATGGTTGTAGTGTTAGTAGTCATATGAAGGGTGGTGGCATCATGATTCTCATTGAAAAGTTTCATCTCATTTGTCAACTATGTCCCTCTCTAAAATTTTCACCGTTTTAAGTCCTTAGGTAGATTCTGGCCGCACCTCACTTTGTTTCTCTTTAGAAAGTATAACTCTGCTCTTAAATATATGTATATATTATATATGCAAAGAAGTATTTTAGAGAGTGTCTTAAACTTCATGGTTCTTGTAAAATATCCTACATCTAACGTAGTGAGGCAGTTTTATTGTAATCATATGTTATAATGGTACATTTAATCAATTTCAAAGGTTCAAAAAAGATCTTCCCTGTGGAAAAAGATTTAGGAGTAGATTTTTGCCTTTAATTTCATAACTGGAATTCATGATTAGCCAGTGGTTCAGTGTTTTAAAACCTATGGTCTTCAGCAGTGTTGCTGATGTTGCTGCTGAAATATTTTGTTTTGTTTCTTGATTTTTTAAAATTGAATGTCCTGTAGGATAAAATCAAAGAGAATTAATAATAAATAAGATCACACTTGATTCCTTTATTTAATTCTTTTGGCTTAACCATTTATAACCAAAAAGTAGTAATAATTGCGAACATTTGTTGAGTACTTACTGCATTCCAGACACTGATTTGTGTTTTCTGTATATTAACACATTCAGTCCCTTCTACAGCTTCTTAAGTACAGTCACTGTGCCTTTTTACAGGTGAAGAAACTGAGGTCTAGAGAGTCAAGTAATTTCAAGGTCACACAGCGAGTGAACACCAAATCGTGGGTTTGAACTCAGCCAGTCTTACTCTAGAGCCTTTTCTGAACCTGTGTGTTGTATTCTAATTCCAGCCTAAAATGTGATTTCCTGTCCTTGCTCATGTTTTTCTCTTTGCCCTCTCCCAAACAGTTGACATGCTTCTATGCTAGTCCATTTAGCATATTTCTTTTGAAGGGCCCTATACTACAGGCTACTTAAGTAGTCCACATCCAGATTTAAATGTCAGCTCAGCCTGCCACTTAATTTACTTTGTGACATTGGGCAGGTTGCTTTCTACGCCTTTAATATGGGCCAGTGTGTACATTATATAATTATTTTATAATGATTAAAGAGAAGAATGAATAAAAAATACATAGCATAGTGCCTGGCACGTGATAAAAACTTGTGAGGTCTATACCACTTCTTAGGCTGTGAGGATTTTTCTGAGCGCTGCAGATCGTGAGACTAGGGGTCTTTAGTTAGTTGTGTTTTTTGCAAGGTGCCTCTGGAAGTTACCTGTCATCCTCATCTAATAAGTGTGCTACATGCTCAGAGTGGGTGTATAAAGCCTACTTAGATGGGTTGTTTAAGAACTATTGTAAAGTCTGTATTTTTTTCTTCCTGAGTATAGATGTTTACTAGAGGATTTCTTCTTAGGCTAATCTTTAGTAGGGTTGAAGTATAAGTCATAAAAGCGATTTCATGGTGCCTAAAAAGCTTACTGTGGAGTGTGTCATACAGCCTATTTAATGTTTTTTTTCTTATTTTTTCCAGAAAATTTGGTGAGCGGCCTCCACCTAAACGACTTACTAGGTAAGCATTATATTACTCAGCATTTCACCTAAACATTTCCTGAAAGTATTAGATCCTGTCAAATATTGGTACCTGGATCGTAAGCTTATTCCCATCCTCCCTTGCATCTCCCATCCCTGCAAAAAAAAAAAAACCAGGATAAGAGGATATAGTCAAAGGGAAAAATGAAGCCTTTCAAGAATTAATCTTGAGTATCATATAGTTAATATAACAAGGGCTGCAATGTAAACATAGCTTCCTATATCTAGCTGCATTTAGCCAATCACAATTTGTTGGTTATAGGTGGGACTTGGAAGCTATTTAATAAACACTTTTAGAAAAGAAATTTAAAGTAAAACAAGATTTTACCCATTTTAGTGGTTTTAAATATTATACTGTGTTCTGACTATATAACTTAATTTTACAATATACATTTTAATTACAAATGTTAAATTTAAAAGTATTAGTCTTGAAAATGATTTAAAAAATTTCTAACAGTCACTGGTTACAAAATACAAAGTAAGACACTCATTTCCACAGTTACAGTCCTAGAGTTAATGCTGACCCTGCATTGTTAGTATCTTTCAAGAAAATCGTATGCATATATAAACACATGCCTGTGTTTTTCCTTTTTCTTTTTAAACTCTGGCATCATACTCTACCATTGATTTGTACCTTTTAACCTCACTTAACTGTACGTCTTCTACTTCATTCTCTTTATTGTCTCCATAGTTTTCTCTTGTCTTCACACTGCTTTTTAATATTTCACATCGATGGCCATTTGAATTACTTCCACATTATTGCTATTATTAAAATTGTTGTATTCAAAGAATGAACATGCCAGACAGACACACAAAGAGAGTTTTGTTTTCTTTTAAAGATTGGCACCTGATCTAACAACTGTTGCCAATCTTCTTCTTTTTTTCTCTCCAAATCCCCTCAGTATATAGTTGTATATTTCTTTTTAGTTGTTGGTCCTTCTAGTTGTGGCATGTGGGACGCCACCTCAGTATGGCCTGATGAGTGGTGCCGTGTCCGTGCCCAGGATCCGAACCGGGGAAACCCTAGGCTGCCAAAGCGGAGTGCACGAACTTAACCACTTGGCCACAGGGCCGGCCCCAAACAGAGCCAGTTTGAAGGGGCTTCCTTTAGCCAAATCTTTGATCATCAAAATAAATAATGATAGTAATGGGTTAAAATCCATAGAATAAAATGACAGTTTCGAAGTCTGTGCTGAGTTAAATAAATTAATCAATAAATGGAGGAGAGGTGGTAGCTTTTCCTTATAGAAGAATTTCACCTAATCAATGTATAAGGAATGATGGAACTAGGAAATCACATCTTGGCAACTATTACAGTGATAATTGTTTCAGGCAAAAATCATCAGTGGATGCTTTTAAACTTTTGGATTGAAGTCTGATGAGAAACAAAATATTTACATAGTCTCTAAGTATATCCTCACTAAGTATGTATTAATTGTAAAGTGAAAAATAATAACATGACAGTGAAGAAACCTGGCAGACACCACCTTAATTAAGTGTTAACATCACTAAGTTAGCATCACCAGTCATAGACAAATAAATATCATGTGCATCCTGAGAAGGACACAGTATTACTTTTGTGGTCTTCTTGCCAAAAATGCATAAGCTAAATCTAAGCATAAGGAAACATCAGACATAAATGAGGGACATTCTGTAAAATAAAGGCATTTACTCTTCAGAACTTTCAAGATCATGAAAAGTAAAGATTGAAGAATACCAATTAAAGGAGACCAAAGAGACCTGACAACTAAATTCAACTAAATCCTGGGCCAGAAAAATACTTTTCTTTTGCTCTAAAGCTGGAGTTGGCAAACATTTTCTGTAACGGGCCAGATAATAAACGTGTTAGGCTTTTTGGGCCACTCTGAGTCTGTTATGACTTCTCAACTTATATCCGCAAATCAGCCATAGAAAAATATGTAAATAAATGGCATGTCTGTGTTTCAGCTCACCTTAATTTAGAAAAACTGGTGGTTATTCTGATTTGGCCTGAGGGTAGTAGTTTCTCAACAGTGCTCTCTCCTCCTCAGTGAAGGGCATTAATGGCACAGTTGGCAATGTTCGAATAAAATCTGTAGACTAGTATTGTATCAGTGATAATTGCATTATGATTGTATACGAGAATTTTTGTGTATAGGAAATAAGCACTGAAGTATTTTGGGTAAAGGGGCTTTCTGTCTACAATGTGCTCTTAAATGACTTAAAAACATAATATACAAATATGGTAAAATGTTAACATTTGAGGAGTTTTGGAGGAAGGGGACTAAGGTTTCTTCGTACTACTTTTGCAACTTTTCTGTAAGTCTGAAATTACTTCCCAATTAAAATTTTTTTAAAGGCATTATGTAAATATTCCAGATCAAATGGGCTGAGAAACTATAACTTGTCTCACAGGTCCATGTAAATATATTTTCATTACTTGTTTTTATATGTCTTGAAGAAATTCTAAGTGGAATTGCATAATTCACATGTGTAGGCATTTTGAAATCTAAAATTTAATAGGTAAACATTTATATTTCATTACCAGCAACAAATAGGTTGGAGTGATTTCAATGATAAAATGTATTTTGATGAATAAATTAGTTAGTTTACTGGATTCATCTGTAAAAATAGCAATCAATATGATGATAATAAATACCATAAGGAAATATTTCTTTCCTTAAATATATATAATAATATTGTTAGGTCCCAGCTACTTTATCATGATTATCTATTTACCCTTTAAGCAATTTCCCTGTTTGGAAAATTTTAGTAGCTTTTAGGACTACTGCTTCTGGCCAAGATGGAGTAACAGGGATTGGAATTACTCTACAGCCTGAAACAACTAAAAATCTGGACAAAATATCTGAAACAGTGGTTTTCCAGATATTGGATGGCAGGCAAAGAAGGACAGTGATCCTTGAGAGACAGGAGACAAATGAGGTGAGCCCTATGATTGCCCCAGCTTAGTGCCTGGGGAGAGTTTCCTGGCTGTGATGTAGGGAGGAGGAATCCAGGAGAAGCCTAGTAAGCATCTTGATTTGAGGAGATAGATCTGGGAATCTCGTGAGCCGAGGCAGCTAGAGTTCCCAGGGCAGAGAACTGTAGGGGAAAGAGCTGGGCCAAGAGTTCCAGAGGTCTGCAGAGGGTTCCCTCTAATCTTCAGCTGAGTAGTGATCAGCACATGTGTGTGAGCAAGTTTGCTTGTGAGCAAGGTTGGGGAAAAAAATAAAGAATTAGAGGAAAGAATTCCTAAAGCTCATTCATCACTAGGAATTATTCCTGTTACCAATAGCCAGAGTGGACAAATCTCATAATTCATGGTACTACTAGAGTACTCAGAGGCATTTTGCTTTGGCAGTAGTGCAAAATTAGGCCTAGACTAAATGCTGCTCTCATTTCACCTAACAAAACTTAAAAGGAAGAGTGAAAAGATCAGACTCTTTCTAAGTAACTTAACTGTGTACCAGAACAAAGCTCAATAATATTTACAGGAATAGAAAAATATCCAGCACTCAAAAAGGTAAAATTCATTGTGTCTTAACCTCTGATCAAAATATACCAGTCTTACAAAGAAGCAGGAAAATATTATCTATAATGAGGAGAAAAATCAGTCAATTAAAACCAACCCCAGAATGAAACAGATGGATAGAATTAGATAAAGGCATTAAAACAGTATATTTGTCTTAGTATATTTGTCTTCTATATGTTTAAAATGCTAAGATCAGGACTTTGCAGAATTTTTCTTTGAAAGGTCAAATGGTAAATATTTGTTTTTGTGGCCCATAGGCCTCTGTTGTAACAACTCGCCTCTGTTGTGGCACAAAAGCAGCCATAAACAATGTGTAACCCAGTGGACGTGTCTGTATACTGGAGTGCTACTTTATTTCTAAAATAGGCAGTGGGTTCGGATTTGGCCTGCAGGCTGTGATTGCAGATCCTTGTAATTGCTAGAGGAGAGATTGAATAAGTTAAACAGAGGCCATGGAAGATAAAAAAAGGGAAGATCCAAATCAAATTTCTAGAGAGGAAAACAACAAATATTTAAGGTGAAAAATATACACTGCTGAAGAAGAGATTAGTGAACTTGAGGACATAGCAGCAGAAACTATCCAAAATGAAGCACACAGCAAAAAAGTCTGGGGAAAAAAAATCACAGTCATTAGTGAGCTGTGGTTTATATTCAAGTGAAATACTATACGTGTAATTGGAGTCATTGACGGGGAGGGTGTGACTAAAAGAATGTATGGGGAAATAATGGCTGAAAATATTCTAAACTTGGTGAAAACTGTAAAACCACAGTCCCAAGAAACTCAGTGAACCCCAAGTGCAGGAAGTGCACTGAAGCACATCGTAGTCATGTTGCTTTAAGTCAGTGATAAAGAGAAAATGTTAAAAGCAACAGAGAAAAAAAGGTAAATTATATACAGAGGAACAGAGATAAGGATGACAGGAGGTTTTTCATCTGAAACCTTGCTAGGGAGAAGACACTGGAGCATGAGCTGTACAGTACTCAAGGGGGAGAAAATACGGCAACCTAGAATTCTCTGCCCAGTGAACGCAAAATATAAAGACCTTCATAAACTGAAAAGGAATTAATCACAAACAGGTCTGAGCTACAAGAAATGTTGAAGGAATCCTTCAAGCAGAAGGACAGTCATACCAGATAGAAATCTGGTTCTGTGCAAATTACTGTCAAGAATGAGAAAGGTGACATCACTGCAGATTCTACACGTTTAAAGAATAACAACAAATATTATAAATAACTTTCTGCCGATAAGCTCAACAACTTTTGAAGAAATCTACAAATTCCTTGAAACCAGTAGACCAGCAAAGCTTATTCAAGAAGAAACAGATAACTTGAATAGCTCTATATCTAAAGAAATTGAATTTCTAAATTTTAACTTTCCCACAGAGAAAACTACAGGCTCAGGTGATTTCACTTTTGAATTCTACCAAACATTTAAGAAATAAATCATGCCAGTTTTATACATACTCTGC